GGCTGTGTCAGTATCAGAGCTGGCAATCTGCCTCACTATATGAGATGCTGTGGGACATAAGAAGAAATTTATTTATAAAATTTGTATGCTGTCCATTACTTGTGTCTCTGGATGGCTCACAACAAATTTAGGAAGGGCAATAAAAGCAACACATAGTTTTACATTGACAACAACTGCTGTACAGGCCTAGCTAGTGGACAGTTTTTGCTGTCGAGCTGGCCCTACATACAGAACAGATAAGATTTCACTGAAAGCCACCCTGCTGGTTCTAAATTGCAGCCATATAACTAGTAAGCTATATTTGGTCTTCAGGATCTCATGACTACTTTTCCCATGTCACTGGTGCCAACATAAACCATGGACCATGTTATAGCCAACATGGACTATAACTCCACCTAGATGCTGTGTGATGCATGCAGTTTACTATCACAAGCCCCTCAACCTCCAGAAGTATATTTGCTCATCTTCCAAGGAACAAGTCTTTTATAATGGACCAGCTTCCTCTTCCTCGGAATAGTGTCCTCTTTCCCCAATATCCCCATTCTCCATGTATTCAGAGGAGCAGTCACTCAGGGACTGGGCACACATATTAGGTTTCTGCCATTCCAAAAGTACCTAAGTAGCACTTGGGGCAGCTGACAGAAACTTCCCCCACTACTGCCACCAGCTGGTTCTCCACTGCCCCTGCCAGGCTGCCAGAGGGGAACAGGAGGCCATTTCTGCATGGTTGGCTGAAATGATCATCCCCACTTCCCTGTCACTGCCACCACCAGGTCAGCGACGCTAACAGTTGCCCCCAAAGGGCCCAAGTGGCTTGTGGTAAGCTGTCACAGGCTCCCTTGCTGCCTGCCATCAGTGGCATGGGATGGAGATCACTCCAGCTGAGCATCCTATACCATCAGTAAGGGGGAGGGGGGCTCAGTGCTCTTGTAGAACCCCCTGGAATTCCCATGGAAGGGCCAAGGGAGGAAGAGATGGTAGGCAAGGGACCACAATATGCACCAATCATGTGCTGAGCACATTGTGGGTCCATGGGCCAGCAACTCACACTTGTTTCTTGTGCCTCAGTGTGGGTTGTCCTGCAGTGCAAACACACATTTACTTGGACTTCTGAAAAGTATTTTTCGAAGTCCCTCAAGAAAGGCTCCTAAGCAAGCTTAACAGTCAAAGAACAAGACAGGAGGCCCTCTTACATATCAGCAACTGGCTCAAGAACAGAAAGCAGATGGCAGAAGTAACTAGTAGATTTTCCCAGTGGAGACTTTCCCAGTTGCAGGAATCTGTATTAGGACCAAAGCTTTTCAACTTATTCATAAACAATCTGGAATTTGGAATGAGCAATGAAGTGGCCAAGTTTACTGATGAAACCAAATTAACTGGGGTGGCTAAAACAAAAAGATTGTGAAGAGCTCCAACAGGAATTCTCTGAACCGGAAGCATGTACATCAATATGACAAATGCTGTTCAATGTAAGCAATTGTAAAGTAATGCCACTGGGGCAAAGCCACCCAACTTCAAGTAAAGACTGACAGGATCTGAACTACCAGTGGTTGATCAAGGAAGAGATCTTGGTATTGTGATGGAGAGCTCAATGAAAATGTCAACCCAATGTATAGCTGCTGTGAAAAAGACAAACTCCATGTTAGGCATAATTCAGAAAGGGATTGAAAATAAAGCTGCCAGGAATATATTTTCCTTATGGAAATATACAAGGGGTGTCCAATGTATTCTCGGTATTGGGTTGATTTGCTATTGATGTGGGTGATTTAATTATTTCATTAGCTAATGACACTATCTGAGGGTATACATGCAAAATTTCAAATAAGTGTGATTAGTTCCCTAGTAATCCTCAGTGAAAGACAACCATGATGTCTGACATGACAATGTTGAAGAAAATCGAGCACTGCGCTGTGATTAAGTTCCTTACAGAACAAGGAAAAAGTCAAAAAATCATTCACAAAGAGATGATGGCCGTTTACCAGGACTCTGCACCTTCAGTATCTACTGTTCAAAAGTGGTCAAGTGAATTTAAAAGGGGCAGAGAAAGCACTGAAGACGACCCTCGCTCGGGCAGGCCGGTTACTGCCACTACGAAAGAAAATGTGAAAAAAATTGAGAAACTTGTTTTGGAAGATGCCCGAATAAAAATCAAAATGTTAGCAGAGATGACAAACCTATCCTTTGGTACCATATGTACTATTTTTCATGACCATCTTAACCTTTCAAAGGTCTGTGCAAGATGGGTGCTGCGAATGCTCATGGCGCCTCATAAACAAGTGCGAGTTGAGTGCTGTATGGAGTTTTTAGAGCTCTGTGGTGAAGATCCATCGAGTATTTTCAACCGGATTGTTACTGGAGATGAAACTTGGGTTCATCACTATGACCCTGAAAGTAAGCAGGAGTCCATGCAGTGGCATAAAAAAGGTGCTGACCCTCCGAAGAAATTCAATCACTCCATCGGCCAGAAAAATCATGGCCACAGTGTTTTGGAACTCAAAGGGAATTTTAGTGATCGAGTACACGAAAAAAGGTGAAACCATAAATGCAGCATCTTACGCAATCACTCTGCATAATTTAAGAGAAGCAATTAAAGAAAAAAGGCGGGGAAAACTGACCGCAGGTGTGTTACTTCTTCACAACAATGCGCCCGTTCACATGGCGCGTGTTTCGAAGGCTGCTGTGTGAGACTGTGGTTTTGAAGAAATAAACCACCCATCCTATAGCCCGGATCTGCCCTGCAGTGACTACTACCTACTCCCGAATTTTAAAAAAGATCTTCGTGGAAAGCGATTTTCCGACGATGAAGAGCTCAAGGAGACAATTAACACACATTTTTTAGACAAGGAGGAAGGCTATTTTTTTACAGGGAATTGAAAAGTTAATTTCTAGATGTAATAAGTGTATTGAAATTATGGGGGATTACATTGAAAAATAAAAATTATTTCAATTTATTATTCCTTTTTCTTCGTGCTGATACCGAGAATACATTGAACGCCCCTCCTATGATGTGCCTACTGTGTACAGTTCAGGTAACTGCACCTAAAAAAGATATTGTAGAACTGGAGAAAGGGCAGCAAAGGGCACGTAAAATGAACAAAGGGCTGTCCCAAATGAGGACAGCTTACAAGATCTGGAATTGTTTCACTTAGAAGAATGGTGCATAATGGGAGACGTGGCAGAAATTATGTACAGTATGAAGCGGTCAGAGAAGGGGACACTTCTGTCCCCCTCCTATAATGCTGGAACCAGTGGAGTCAGCCCGTGAAACTGATGCGTGGAAGCTTCAGGACAGGCAAAAGGATGTCCTTCTTCACATAGCACATACTTTAACTATGGAAAGCACTTGCACAAGATGCATGGATTTCCCTCCCCGCACCCTAGCTTGGATAGCTTTCATAGGGGGCTGAAGCGTCTTCCTGTATCAAGGCTATCGATAGCTGCTTGTCCAGATGCCTATATGCTACCTGCAGTGCCAGAGGCGGTGTGCTCGCGGTTACCAGTCAACGGGGAGCATGGGTGGGAGGGCGCTGGCGCGCTCGTGCCCTGCTTGTGGGATCCTGGGGCAGCTGGTGGACAACCGCGCGAGCCCAATGCCAGGCCGGGGGGCCGCTCGGCCTGACCCAGCAGGGCTCCTCTTCTGTTCTTCGGAGGGGGCTGTTGGGCTCACGTCCTACTAGTGGGCCTCCCCCCGAGGCATCTGGTTGGCGCCGGGAGAGTCAGATGGGCCTTTGCACTGAGCCGGACCAACACGGCAGGGCTCCGCTCCTTTTCTTCTGGGAACCGATTTCACCTTCCCCATGCCTTCTCCGGCGGACTCGGGTCGGAAGCCTCGCCTTCCACTGGCCGGCATGCAGTTTGGCGGCTTACTCAGAACGGGGAAAGTGGCTGTTCCACACACACAGACAGGGTCCGAATCGCAAACTACGGGCGCCTCGCTTTGCGGTTATCATTTCTTCGCGTGCTCTACGTGAGGAAGACGCTTTGTCGCCGCCCTTCAGAGATTTCTCCCATAATGTCTATGGGTTGCTCCTATGCCCGCCCCGCATCCAAGAAAAAAATAGTTATATGGAAACCCGAGATCTTGTCCCTACCTCAGTATACTATATAGACGTCGGTAAACTCCGCACAACGGAAGAGGGGCGATGAGCCCCGCCCTTTCCGGGCAATCGCTGCTTCATTGTTATGACAACCTGAGGACAAGGCCGACACAGCGGAAACTAAACAATTTCAGCTTTCTTATTGAGTCCGCGGCATGCTCATCATACAGTATCCCTGCCTCATTCTCGCCCTTCAGCCAATAAGGAGCATGGGGGAAATGACGGGGAAGGGGTTCCCCGCTTCACTTTTTTTCTGCACTTCGCTCCTTCGGCAGTGTCCGCGTGATACATTTTGCTAAGTCCCAGGTGTTTTTTCGCGCCCCTTTTTGGAGGGCGCGCGCACTTCTTTAACGTTCGTGATAGGTTCTTAGGGTTTTCGGAGGTGACAATTCGGGGGGTGAAGTCCCTTTGAGCCGTCTAACCACAGTGGTTTGCCTTTATATCAATCATACGTCAATCTCGCCCTTCAAATCCTTCAATCGGCAAACAAGAATCGACCAGCCTTTAGGCAGAAGTTAACCGTTGGATTGGTTGAAACTAACGCAATTACTCCCCTGGCAAGATGACGTTTTCTAGACTTGTCCAGTAGAAGAGCAGAGCTTGAGCAATCTTTGCACCCTGGTTGGCTCAATACTCTACTCATCCCGCCCGCCATCGTTCTCCAATAGATATAAAACATGTAGGGCTCCCCACTCTCTTTTTCCATTCGAGGAGTTCTCTGACACTCAAATTGTAGAGCCCGCCTTCCTCAGCTTTTAATAGGTCAGACGGTAAGGCCGCCTATTTCCCTTTAGACCCATTGGCTTTTTTGTTCTGTCAGTCATTGCTATCCCATGAACGATTGGCTTCGAAGAAGGCAGGAACAATGGCGGGGAGTCCCGCCCTTCGCGTTCCCAGCGTGCCGTGCGGGCGTGTGTGTGAGTGTGTGGAGAGGGGGAGAGCGCTCGGCCTGGTTCCCGCGTTGAGCCCTCGTTGCCGCCGCTTCCATCTCTGCCGCCATGTCGGACTATAGCGCCGGCGGTCCACCGCCGCCTTCCGCTGGGCCGCCGGGCGCGGGAGGAGGAGTTGGGGCTGCTGGGCCTCCAAATCAGGGAAGCGGAGGTGGAGCTGGCGGGGCCGGACAGGCCGGCGGAGCAGCGGGTCCCGGACCTGGCGGGATCCGTAAAGATGCCTTCGCCGACGCGGTTCAGCGCGCCCGGCAGGTGAGGGAACTGAAGTGGATGAGGGCGGGTGACCCGGCCGTGGGGTAGCGGCAGGCGGGAGGGAGGCACTGCATCTCGTTCGCCTTTTCCTCTCCCCCCCCCCCCGGTCCCTCCACACGACTCTCCTGAACAGGCCTTGCGATGGTGAAGCTGGAGAGCAGCTCTCGCCTTGTAACAGGCTGAGGTACTTGACGAGTCCTGAAGCGATAGAATTCTGGACTGTGCCACTTTAAGCTAAAGAGGAGGGGGTTTCACTGGAAGCAGAAAGCTAGCATAGCAGGGACCAAGGGTTAGCACGGCCCTCTACGACGTGTGACGTTTTTACATGCAGGAAGGAATTGGAAAGGGGGAAAAGAGACGTGAGGGCACGTGGCAAGCATGCCTGCGTTTGTGATTTTTCTGGACTAGGGATAAGTAACTGTGGCGTTCTCCACATCTTCTGAAGTACAACTCCCACATTCTCTGAACATTGACCGTGCTGACTGGGGTTGATGGGAATTAAATTCCAAGCCATTTGGAAGGCTCTAGGTTGACTACTCCATTGCTAGATAGACTGAGATGATAGAAAAGATTTATGTACTGCTTTAGGCAGAGAATGAGAAGGATCATATCTTAATGGTCTTTATTTTATTTTAGTAAAGAAATTTGTGCAAGTAAGAAGCTAGCACAATAGGAAAGGAGAGTTGGTATAACACTTCTCGAATACAAACCATCTCCAGGGAAATGGCCTTTGTGTGCTAATGTGGTGCATGTAAAGACCATGCCTAGGTTAAGATCTGAGACAAGCCATTTAGAACTGTTGTTTGTTTGATTAAAATTAAATAGGCAGAGTGACATTATGGGTTTCTGAATTATTCCACTTTAAATTGTGGATGATGGAGTCATATCTTTGAATGCTTCTCAATGTGTGCATGTGTTAAAATCTTAACCAGTCAAACTTTGTGCATAGAAGTAGTTCTGAGCAGAACTTTCACTGACAGGCTAGTTTACAAAGCTTAGTCTAATGTAATTTCATTGTATGGCTTTAAATTTTGTTTTGTGGACTGGATAGAGCCTTGTCTAATGGGTGGCATATGAATGTAATATGTAAATTAAATAATGGCAAAATTATTTAGAAATACCCAGCACTTTCAGCCTGCCTGGCATCTTATTTTGTGGGACCTGGACCTATAGAGAATCAGAAAGAAGTGGACAAATCAGTTCAGACTGCAAGTGAGGTTAGCTCCCTTTTGTATAAGATATGCCATTTTATAGAAAGCTTCCCACAACAACACCAAACAAACAAAATCACGCAGATCAAAGAAAACGTTTCTGCTATTTGCCATGATAATATGTGTACATTTTCACATGGGAACTTATACAGTGTGATCTCTGACCTGAAGCCTTAAAGTAGTGAAGTTCATTTTTCCAGACCTGGATTACCATTCTGTGGAATGTGTATGCTAGGTCCTATTGGAAGGGTAGGGGAACAAGGGCCAATAACTAGTATCAATCAATACTTGTCCAACCTTGATAAGCCTGGGAAAGGACAAGGCCTTGATTCAGACCTTTCAATAAAGCAGCTTTCCCTATCTGGTGCCTTCCATTACAACTCCCAGCTTGACTCACCATTGACTGGGGTCAATGTTAGTTGAAGTCTGAAACATTTGAAGGGTGCTAGATTGGGGAAGGCTGCAGTATACCATGGTTTTTTATTATCTTAAGGCTCACATGCTGAATTTCTTTTTCATACCTGAGAGAAAGAGATTGCTAGTTGTGGTAAACCATACTTTTCATTCTGAGGTAGGAAGCTATGGTTTGTGAAACCCATTGTTTGTCTTCCTGGGTTAGCATTCTGGTTTGAGAACAAGCTGTAGGTTGTACAACTGTCAGCTGAAGCTTTTTAGTACCTTTCTTTCATGTGCAAATAAAGGGAACTGGAGCAATATGGGGCCTTTGGTTCATTTTTCTATCTGAATTGCGCCAATAGCTATTGGAAAAAATGACTTTTACATCTTTTCTGAAAGTAGATAACCAGCACAGTAGAGAAGGGGCTGTGCTAAGCTCTTCATTTCTAAAGTTCTTATTTTTGCATATGCAGAGTCCAGTTAGTTTTCCTGTGTCCGTAGTCTGAACTTTTACCATCCACTCTGTTATCTCAGGACTCTGTCATCTTATTCTTACCTCATTCTGCTGCATGTGCAGACCAAACTTCAGTTTCCAAAGAAGGAAAATTTCTTATACTGCAAAAGGCTTAGTACTATAAAGGAAAAATGAAGAGGACATCTGATTTTATGAATAGTTTAAAGCCAGGGTTCACAGTCTGAACACCTGTCTGCTGTTCCTTAATGGCAGGCAGAGCTACTCTGCAATTAGTCTCTGTGTACTTGGAGCCACCTTGGGGAGGTGTTGTTTCTTAGGTTTAGCTGCTTTCACTGCTTCTGAATTAAGTTCTAGAAGTAGATGAGGCAAAGAACAGGAGCAGTTGCTGAGGAGAGTGGTAAGCTCTGTGTTCTGCTGAAGGGTTAAACATGATTTGCTTTCACACATTTATCTCCTGACCATCCTCCCAATTACTTAAGGATGAATGGGATGTCTTATTACCTCACAGCCCTGTGGGTGATACTGAATGAGTGCACTGGTGTCAATTAGAGGAACTTTGTGGCTGGACAGAGGTGCACACGCAGTTTCTGTTGTTCAGTGCCCTACAGTGTAATGCACTGAATATAGGAAACTGGGTTCAAAATCCTGTGGGACCAACAACCACTATGCTGCTTTATCTCGAGATGTAAAGTATCTGTGTTTGCTTATCAGTGGACTTTTTTTGCATTGGGCTATTTTCTTTTAAGGTATTCAGCTGCTGAGCAAACCTGAGGCTCCTATGCAACCACAATCTGAATAGATTTGCATAGGGGGTAGGGAGAGTTTCTTTCAGAATTCTCTTCTGAGTCTAAAAGGCTTATTGTTCTGGGTATCTGTACTTTTGAGGTAAGCTTTGAATTAATAGAAAATTTCTTGCCTGGATCCTGAAATATTTTTGGAGTTCCAGACTGTTTCACTTGAGCATGTTAGAATTAACTATCTGGTTTACTAATATATTAAACTACTGATGAGAAAACCAACCATTTACAAAGGGCAAGTGATGGCTATACTTGTTTTAAACCTTCCACTCTTTCTTGGTTGAGAGAGTGGCTGTTTTGGTCTACTATGTCTGGTAAGCTTGCAACTTTGTTTTCTTAAAAAATTGAAAATATTGTTAGTTTAACAGTCCAGAGCCAAGATGAATGATTATAACTACATAATTTACTTGAGTTGTACATTGATTTACACCTTGCTATAGTTTTCATGCCCTGAACAATTATTCCAACAAATGACAAGGCAGTAAAAGCCTGAAGTAGTTTTGGCCAAAAAATTAGTTAAACTTGACCAAAAGTCTAAAACATTTGTAGTATTTTTTCTAGCATATTACTTTCTTTGATCTATAATGGCTGAAAGAGAAATCTTAGTCCTTTAAAATCCTGTTTGTGATTTCTTTATAGTTAGAATTGTTTAGTGGTGGAGGAAAGGTTTTATTTTGTAAGGGCAGTGCAGTAGCGGGTGTACTGCAGACAGTACTAGGTCTGCCATATGGGTGAGGGTATTGCCGGACGTTGCCTGTATTCTGCATTCTTGTGTTGGGGTGAAAAGTTTTGATCCTCTCTAGCTTCCAATCTAATGCATCCCACACTTGTATTGGAAGGCTTCTCACCAGATCCATGACCTAACATTGCATTAGTTCTGGAATCATCAGATCAAGTGAGTCCATGATGTCACTTCAGGACAAATTGATATATTATGTTTGTATCTACCTTGATGAAATTCACATTCTCAGAACCGTTTTTATATTGTTCCCTATTTTAAAGGTGAGGTCCAATAACAGTTTTTACGTAACTATAAAACTCTGTCCAACACCTTACAGACACTGAAGTTAAAGGCAGAAAAAATATTCTGCCAAAGCCATGAATCCAGGCTTCATTCAGTTTCTATATTAATAAGACCAGGTTCTGATTGGTCTCACTGCCTTCTTGTTATCTGATATCCACGTTCCCTCCCACTGTTTCTCTTCTCACTGCATATTTTTGTCATATTGGTGGCTTTTGCTCCTTCCTGCTAGGTGACAGAATCGCAGCAGTGTTCATTACTTCCTCAGGTTAGTCCCCTGCAGTGTAAACAGCTTGCTTACTTCCTTGTTGCAGACTATTTGCCCTCTGGATACCCTTTGCTAGTTCAGCCAACTCATTTTCATATCTACAAGCTCTCCTAATTAGAAATTTGACACAGATTTTTATTCTGACCTTTGTATTAGTACTGAACTACTAACTGTTCTTGATGTTACAGTGGGGCAGTGCAGTTCATAGTTGGCAACACACAGATAAGTCCTTAGTTGCATGCTTTGATTTTCCCCCTCATTTGCAATTTAGTGGAAAACCATAGTTTTCCCAGCTTGGATCTAACTGGTGAGCTATGTTGTGCATCCAAATAGTAAATGTACAAGGAATTGGAGTTTTCTGGGGCAGGGACTGGGGCCAGGAGTGCATGACCCAGGATTCATTTGTGTAGTGTCAAATGATACTTTGGTGTTGCATCTGAATCAACCAAGTATTTCTAAAGCTTTTGTAGCCTTCCATACTAGCTCAATGCCACATACTAGCTTCTCACCAGTTCTGCTGTACTTGTGCTATACTTCACTTACAGGTCTGTTATAATTGGATGTGTTTGCTGTATTGACAAGTCATTGTGCTAGATCATAGGTCCTCAAAATACAGCCTGCGAACTGGATCCGGCCCACCATGCCCATTTATCCGGCTTGCCTCAGAGGTTTTGGACGTGCCGCGCACGGGGCGAGGCAGGCAGTGGTGGGCACATGGAGTTCATTTTGGGCTCGCTCAGAGAAAACGATCTCCAAGCGAGCAAGCGGCTGCCTCGTGCACCCACCACTGCCTTGCGCCGCGTGCTCACCCCCACCTCACCTTGCCCGTGCA